AGTTGTGCGATTCTTTGTCGTGTTTCTGTGGTTGACTCACCCGCCTTGATAAAGCCTTTAGCTTCTGGCAAGACCTGACTCACGTAGGCCCTATGTCTACCTTGTGTTCTTCTTTTTGTCTTCATGGCTTCTGCCATATCTGTTCTCGTTTGTTTTGATCAATCAGTTCCCAGTATCTGGCTCAAAGGACCAAATGTCCGAGAATATCTCTCAGTGCTGGTTCTCCCAATCAATGAGAAGACTGTATCTGTCGATTTACTAGTTTATTTCTCCATTCTTTACACTCTCAATTCCGTTCTCTTCTGAGGCTTGACCCCTTACAACAATTGTCATATTCATGCCAAAAATGTGTGGTTACAATTACATGTTGCAGTTGACAATCGTATGTTGTTTTATAATTCATAGTATGTGATCTATCTTCTTCGTGCATCTGTCACACGCAAGTCGTGACGTTACAACGGCATTTTGGCATTTTGTTTGACTCTTGGTTATACTGTTAGAGTAAACAACAAACAAGCAACAACAGCTTTATCCAAATTTTCTCTTGAGCACAACATTGCTTACTGTGGGTGCAGAATCAAAGCAGTATAAAAGACCATTTTGGGTGGTCATGGAAAATGCTCTGTACACTAAAACATTTGCAGATAAAAATGAAGTTAGTTTAAAAATCCGCATAAAGAAGAACTAAGAATTAAATGAAAGTGAGAATATCACTTCTTGCTTGTTAGAATCAATAAAAATTTGTCTATAAGAACTAAAACTTACCTTAGCTTACACAGTGCTCTCAAGTCCAATTACAGTGGCTTGCGGCTGTGAGTGTTATCTACTTTGTAGCTGGTCTTGACTTGTACAGCTATAGTTTTCTGAATAATCATGGATGCAGCATACCTGATTACTTTTTAGGAGGATGTGAATTGCACTCTCTCTTTTCCTTCATTTGTCAGGTTGAATGAAACTGGTGGAACAAAAACTCATTTACAAGCATTTTAAAGTTGGTAAACAAAGCACCAGGAAAGGTTTGTTTTCGGAGGGTTGGTGCTTCCTCTTTTCCTTACCATAAATATTATGTTTGACCAATGCTAACATGACCAAATTTTTGCCAGCTTAGTGTGGTAGTTTTAGAGCGTACATGTTCTTCTTTCATAAGCTTAAATTTAGTGACACCGGGCTTCTCACACTCTCTATTTAAACACTTCAATACATGATAATCTTGCCTTTCTGGCTCAGCAGTCAAGGGTGTTTAAAGTTGACATTTTTCAATATACCATGTAAGTGTGAAGTAACTTGTGATTCAAGGTGAAGGTTACTTCAGCAAGTAACATTGTCTTCGCCTGTTGAGCAATGACTTACATCTCTTAATGCTCCTCTATTACATTTAACCTCTGGTTACCTGTCTTGAATTCTAAATACACCTCAGTTTGAATTTTCACCAATATTTGTTTGGGGTGGTTAATGTACCTGTATGTTTTAGCTGCAGGGTGCATGTTTTTGAATCATATACATCTTGTTGCTTGTCATTGCGGAGATGTCATGCACAAGCTTACTGTGCTCTGTAGGAACAGTGTCTGACTGAGTTTGGCTTTTTTTGTAAAGCCATTGCACCAGGACTTGTTGCTCATCAGAGTTTAAGGTCTGTGTTTGAATGGAGTACTTTAGTGCTTCCTGTTCTTTGGGATACTTTCTTTCAAGCATTTGCTTGAAAAAAAAGTGGCATATTCAGCCAGATTTTGTAGTAAATATTCCAACTTGAAAGTCATTGTGGCAGCCTGTTCAGAGTAGTGCTTCCTTGCAAATGTTGTGTTTGTGTCTTGTTTCAACTTTGTAGCCCTTGGGTGTTTGTAGCTGGGTCTTAATCCTGTGAACACTTTTTCACTTTCTCCCCTCGTCTTGAACTGAAACATATTGATCTTAGGGTACAGCATGGTTTTGCGGAACCTTATTCTATCTGTGCTTTTGCTTAATTGTTGTGAGAAAACATCAGTTTATTGATGTGCAAGGTCAAGTTTGAAATCCAGTGTTCATCCAACATGTGCTGATTCAAGGTAGAAGCATTACAAACAGATGAATTTGAAGAAAACAACAAGAAGTCATCTGTCTGTACCGCCTCAGCAATAGGCCCTTTTATAAGCTGGAAAGGACACTCCAATCTGCATATGTTTGCTTAAAAATACAAGCCATTCTCTGGTTTCCGTTGACGTTTCTTTCTTTTTTTCTTGAAGAAAAGTACCCTCAGAGGAAGGGCAAATAAAAGTAGAAATTAGCTATGCATGCAGATGTTGAGATATGGTTATTCCTGCATAATTGGTGTCTATCAGAGAGTATGCAATAGTTATTGCTTGTGCTGATACGATGTTGTTGAAATGACAGTCTTCATTACTATGTTCATGGCAGTTTACATTTTTGCTACTTCAGTTTCGGCTATTATAGTTGATACAGCATCATCTGACTCCTTTTATAAGCTGGAAAGGACACTCCAATCTGCATACGTTTGCTTAAAAATTCAAGCCATTCTCTAGTTTCCGTTGACCTTTCTTTCTTTTTTTCTTGAAGAAAAGTACGTTCAAAGGAAGGGCAAATAAAAGTAGAAATTAGCTATGCATGCAGATGTAATGTGTGTAATGGTGATCTGTTTTATTGTGAATCAAAGATTTAGTTTAAGGAGTATGTGATAAATGAATGATGAATGAATCAAATCAATGAAAGCAATCATTAATGATCAAGATCATACTTGTATTAGGTTTACAACAGATCTGGCATTTCATTGGTAGCTTTTTGCATGAGGTTTCTACCCATCATGGCATCTATTGCTGCTCTTCTAGAGAACCCTTTTTCATTTAATACACTGAAACCGAAGACAGGGCCTGCTTTTTGATTTGATTGGCTGATGGTGTTTTATCGGGTTGTTCATCTTTGACTGCAAATTTCTCTTCAGAGGCTGATAGTATTATCCATGATTTGTCTTTGAGGGTACTTGGTGAACATGAACCGATTTTAGGGTTACCGTAATGAGACAGTAATACCTAAAAAACAAGCAACATGAAAACCTTTCTATTGGTAATGGTGTTCAATGGAAGTAGACAAAACCAATCCAATGTCTAATTTTTAAAAACTGTTTTAACAGAAAGAGAAATCGTCCTTGAAAAGCTTTTCTAAAAAGGTTTTCATTTGTTGGAAATAATGGCATAATGTGTAGTGAATGGTGAATAAATGATAGACTTAAACATGGTTGACACAGTGAACTGGTCAAGGTAGCACAATCACAATAGAATGTTGTTTTTTTGGGCTCCCAGGTGACTGTTTCTCTGCAGCTTTGCAAAATAAGTAGGCCGTCTTGTTGTTCTTAAGGAAGGTTTGTAAAGGTGTAGATATGGTTATTCCTGCATAATTTACTGAGCAAATGGTTGCCAATTTATAATAGATTTGGAGGAAAATCAAAAATAACTATTAACCAAATAAGGCTAGGGAGTGAATTTACTGCTCACTAATACAGGATTTACCTAAGGGAACTAGGTGTTTACTACTCCTGTACAACGGGATTTAGGTATACAAAATGTGTGGAAATAATACAACTAAACATGGTAAAAATAATGTGTGTAAGGAAATAAAGACATGTAGGTAAGCAACCAATTAATTATCATTAGGATAATAAAAATAGATGGAAATAATTTGGAAGTAATAGAAAAATAAAATAAGCTTAAAATGAACTTAAGTGACCTTGTCACATAGGAGCAAGAATTAGAACCCACATCTCAATATGTGGTTCGTCTGGGAGAAGGAAGCTCTTATGGTGTGTCAAAGGGTTTTTTTATTCTCTCGTGTTACAAATAGTTGCTAGGGCTGATTATAGAATTGTTGCAGCAACAATGGGTCATGCAGGAAATTCCCATGATTCAACAATAATGCAAAAACACTCTTTCTGGAAAAACAGAGAGAACATTTTTACACCTGGAACTAGAGTTATCGAGGGTGTAGAAGTCCCATATTTTGAAATTGGAGATTCATCTTCTCCAGTTACGAGGTCAATGAAGCCTTACACACACACCTGAACGATGCCCAAGCCTATTACAACTACAGGCATTCAAGTGCAACGATGATTGTAGAAGAAACACTTGGGCTATTGAAGGGAAGGTTTCTGATCCTCTTGTTTACAAATAGGTCCTCAATCCCTACAGTGAATGTCATCACCATAACATTCTACATAATATGCATATTGTCAGGGAGATGACTTTCAAGTTTTCAAGGATTCTTGCAAGAAAGGATACCCATATGCTAGACATAAGTGAAGAGGGTGATGACTGTTGACGTCGTGGAAAGAAACTCAGTAGTACCTGCTGATGCAAAAGAAATCTGGAAAGCCCTGATGCGTCTTTTTTTTTTATTTATAGCTGTGACTGTATGAGAATATTGTTCATAAAGCAATGTCTTCATGAGATTTTCATGAGTCAGAGTTTTAACACCAACACTTCTTTTGTCAATTTGTAAAAATGTAGATCTTATAAATCAAAGTCAACAAGAGATTGTTGCAATGCTTGATGAAATAAATATTGTTGGTTGAGCTCCACTAAACTGAGCTGTCGAGAGGCTGATAAGTCAAACTTTTTATTTCATAAGTACATTTTTATTAACATGCATCAGTTGAAACATTTATTTTTAAAATAACTGAACTCAGTTCTCAATAATGAGGATTAAACATATAACAACAACCGACAGTAAGTGTGTTTGATAAATAACAATAACCTTTATGAAAAGTTGTAGTAACATGAACTTTAATACTGATTAGGGGTATGTTGCCATTGATTGTAATCTGTGAAACCACTTCCAGGGCCACTAGTACAAGGTGTCGCAAAAGGTTGTTGGGGTGGTGAGAAGCTAGGCGTCATCCTCATTCTCATCATTTCTAATTCATACTTTCTGACTTTCTCTCTCCTTTGACTCTGTTTTAGCTTCTGAAGCTCCCTGTCTTTTTCCCTCTCTTTAGCTTCATGTTCAATCCATAGTAATTAATCATTTTGTCTCTGTTCATCTTGTGCATTTCTCATATCTTTTATTGCTGATGCCAGAGACTCAGATGACTGCATTGCTGCTTTTTTTTGACACCTTTTGGTCTTTACTGGAACTTTATCTCTATTCTTCCTCTCACACTCTTTTGTCAGTTCTGCATCACCATCTTCACTTTTGGACTCTTTTTCATTATGTCCACCAATGCCTACTTCATTGACTGATTCATCTTCACCTGGACTGTTAACACAAATAAATTTTAAAAAATAGATAAAGGTTATCTATCCATTTAAATAAACAAAAGTAGTTATGTTGGTGAAATTCGTTTATCACACCTTGGCACTACCAAGAAATGAAGAGGGTTGTATAAAATAGCTTGGTTATTTTTCATTTATGCAGACGTTTGCAAATTAAGTAGGCTGTCAAGATAGCTCTCAACATCATGCTATTGGTGACTGAAATATGGAGAAATGGCAGGGGGAGTCCATTGGCTCTTTAATGATGGCTTGATTATTAGCAAATAAACACGAACTTTGACGAATATTAGGTAAAATATGGTACATAATACAAAGAACGATGAATTTCCATGTTTCTGACATGACACTTTTTCAAGTGGTATGGTCATGATCTTTGCAATAGTGAGGTGATAATTTAAAATAAACTTTCAGAAACTTCCTCTCTTCAACAAAATTTTTGAGTATGTTATACCTAGAAAGTATGTTTAGATCCTGACTTTCTAGCACCATCTCATCTAAGTTGGCTTCGATTTCACATCTTTTCATTGCATCGGCGATGGTTATGACCCACAGACTGTTTTTGAATGCTGTCACTCCTGATTTGGTTTCCATTACAATCTTTCGCTTTTAAGTACTCACTTAAAAGCAAGTTCCACATCCGTTTGATCCCTTTGGGACTTGATAACCTGTTTTCACCAACTGATTACAGACTCTTTGGTACTATCCCGACTTCTCTTTGTTAAAAATTGTCTTTGATCTTAGAACAGTGGTTGGGGTGGTGTTGGGTTGTGACTGTGTGGTGTTTTCGTGGCTGTGCGGTAGGATATCAAAGCTTACAATATCTCGCTTTGATGGCTTGCCTCGACTGAGGTGTTATTTCTGCCCTCTCTGCCTCAACCCACATCCTCTTCGTATAGGGGTACCATTTTTTTTGTTGCTTCTCGGCCCAGTCCATGACTGCTTGGTCCTCAGCGGGGGAAAAGATTTTCTGATTACGAGCCTGAGATATTGAAGAACATGTTCTTCTTACTGCCAGTGAAATTCACAGGCAAAATGCCCTATTTGTTTTGAACCCTTTGCATGCATTAATAAACCTGTCATTGGGAAAAAAATGTTACATCAGGATCAGTTTACTTGTCGCAAAAATCCTTTATCACCCTACATGTTTCTAAAGTGATTTCAAAACCTAATGACAATTTGTTATTTCTATCCACGTGACAATTTTAAACACGAGTCATGTAAATTGCTACTCGACAGGGGCTTAAATTCTCGTATTATTCTACTGACACATATGGTACCAGAATACAACAGTAAAATTTATAGAGGTAACTATGTTGTAATCACCTCGGTTACATTGTGGAAGCACAAATTAGGCAACTTTTACTGTCAGAATAAGATAGTAGTAAAATAGTTTTCTTACAGTGATAGATTTACATTTCTGACCACCATATAAAGATACTATGCCATGGCAAATCCAAATCATGGCAAGCCAAATAAAAAAATGGAGGCTGCCTCGTCTGTGCAGGAAAAAGGCAAAATGGAGGACGGATCAGGTTTCCCACCCCCCTCCCCTGCATCGTTGCTAAGCTTCTGATTTTTGAGGGGAAGGGGTGGGTTATTTCGGATAAAAATCGTAGGAAGGAAACGATAATATTATTGTTTGAAGTTATTAGTCCTATGTCATCGCCTAAAAAACAGTGACGTGAGGGTCTCGTGTGGTATTATTTTAATTTTCAGTGTCTGTCTGGGTCCTCGCTCACAATCAGCTTTTTGTGTGTTTGGCGCTCCTCGTTCGCTTAACAAATGAGAAAAAGAAGAAGAAAGAAAGAAATTGTAAAAAACTAAACATAAAAAATGAACCCTCGACATAAAAAACAACCCCCGACATGTCACCCTTGATCCTCAATGCCTCGATTAAAAGTCAGACTCACGGTCTAGCCTGTGAACAGGCCTTTGGTCGAGTGGGGAACTGGGGAGAGGGAAAAGCAAAAAGGCCTGTAGACAAACATTTGGGACTGACGTTCCACGGCACCCGCTGTGCATCAGATCCTGATGCAATCTCCTATTGGTGAGAGCACCGACTGTAGACAGGTCTGATTGACATCACCTTTTTGGTCAGCACGTAGCATGCTGTTTGATCACAAAGTGGCTATAACAAAACAGTACTGCTAAGCTTATTCAGAGTATATTACCAAGGGAGGAACTATGCATTCCAGTCAAAAGACTCGCACTTTCTTTAGAAAAACCTTAAGCTGGAGTTTACCTAGTCACAATGCAGTTCTCCGTAGCTGATGTGGCTTCGGTTTAAGCTGCACTTCAATCTTATAATGTTGGATCTGTAAATCACTATCCGTGATAATTTTTAAACATCCTGCAAAGATAACTAACGAGCTGTGCACTGCAGAACATTGCAGAAAAACATTACATTCACGGACAAAAGAAAATTGCTTAGTTATTCAGATCCAGACGGCACTTTGGAGAAAAGTAAGACCCTTATTCAGCCGCAATAAAAAGCTTTACGCTTCAATAGAGGTCAAAGAAAATGCTCTTGCATCAGAGGACAAATCCTGCTGACCAGAAACAAAAACCACAGCAAATCGATGTGTGCCATGACCTCTCAGTGTGAAAAAAGCGGCTAAAATCACAGTTGCTCATTGAAAATGTAGAACCTTCCAGAGCATAATCTAGCCAGCAGAGGAAAAAACTGGGAAAAAGCAGCATTTTGGCATGAGGTAATGTGCCTATCAGTGTAAACCCCGTAGGGGGGGGGGGGGGGAGGGGGGGCAGGGGGGGGGGATTGGAAAAATTTTAAATTTTTTTGAAAAAATTCCCAAGGGGGGGAAGCGAAAGGTAAATAAAAAGTGACAAAAAGCCCCCTCCCAAAAAACGGGATAAAAGAAGAGTTGACAAATAAAAAGAGAAAACCCTCAAGAGAAAAATTAGAGCAAGAGAGGAAAAAAGGGGAAAAAAGCAGATTTTTGGGAGGGGGAAATGGGCCTACCGGGGAAACCCCGGGGGGGGGGGGGGGGGAGTGCGGGCAAGGGGTGGGGATTTGACAAATTTTAAAATTTTTTGATCAAATTCCCCAGGGTGGGAAGCGAAAGGTCAATCAAAAGTGTCAAAAAGCCCCCACCCCAGGGGAATAAATCTAAACAAACAATACTATAATGCTGTATAAAACGAATTAAAAGAATATTTCAAAGGTACGTCCTTACTAAACGTAAGCTCTGTTAAATTACTCGCTGTAATTAAGTATTTTCTCTCTCCACTAGCATCTCTTATTTCGAACAACAAAATCACTCTAGGAAGATTGACCGTGCTATTATAATGTTAATGAAACGTTAAATGCTTTATAACATCTGCTCAACATGTCGGAACAGGTCGGATCAGTGAACCGTCAAAAATCCTCTGATTTCCATGGTGGAATTCGATTTCAATCGAGTTTTACAAACAGATGGGAAAAAACTTTCTCAAAAAAGACATCTGTTTAGATGACAGTTTAAAGTATCGGATTGTGGTGAGTAAAACAAATGAAAACTTCACACCTTTCTCCAACAGCGTGACTTTCAGAGAGCCTTGAGGGACGGATTTGGTAATGACTTCTGAATTGATACCAGGCTTCTGTCGGTCAAAGTCAAATGTCCCAACCCCAGGGTCGCTTCGCACGATCAAAAGCCCGACAGGGGGATAGTCTCAGGCATCAAATCCCTGCCCCTTGCCTGCACTCCCCTTCCACGGGATTTACAGTGATAGGTGCATAAAAGTCATGCAGGCCTACCGCCCCCCTTTTATTGCTATAAATACCCGAAGGTGTAATTCCTGTCGGCGATCAAAGCGCTGCTGATCTTTTTGTACTTGTTTTTGGTGCTTCACGTTCTGGAGAAGTCATGATAGTATCTGTACCTTTGGCATTCCAAGTTCGCTCATTGCAGGGGCTTGTTAAAGTAGAAACTGAACTAGCAAGACGAAAAGCCTGTTGGGCACAAGTTAAGCAGCTTAAATCGGAAAGCTCTCTTCTTGCTCAAGGGGAAATCTTAAGATTCAAATGCTTGCGCTAGTACAACACTGTCTTGACCACTGTCAACCAGCAAGGTCTTATTTGCTTGAAATGCCAAAGACTGGCACTGTATTAGTTCTCTTACCAGAGATCAATGATTTTTTTGCAAAATCAACAATGATGCTCGCTCTCCATTTCACTCTGTTTTCAGAAAGAGCAAACACCGCTCATTTCCTGTTAATTTTCCCAGGGGGGTTACCCACCCACCAAATCGATTGACAGATAACGATCTTACTGATAGATGATCGGCAGGATAATTACAAGAGGGCGGAATGGCGGCATCAAATGTTTGTCTACAGGCTCTCTCCCCCCTTTCTCTTCCCTTTCCTCGCTATTTTTTCACCAAACGGAGAGCCTGTTCATAGGCTACTCAAGGTCGGACTTGGCGGTTTGCATTGTTCGATTTCAATACAATTTGCGACAATGCTACTTACGTAGACAACAGTTGAGACAAGGCTAATAACAGCTTAAAGTCAAGTGGATACTGTTGGAAGAAATACTAAATCACTTACTACTTATGTTCCTCTGCAACTGGGAAATTCTATGTTTAAAGGCCCATGTTCACCCTAGATGCATTGCGCGTCTTGTACTCCAGAGAAAGACATTTTGTGTAGTTGAAAATTGCTCCCTTCAGTGTGTAGAGTCAATCTTTGTTACTCTTCCGCAGTTGGCTAAATCTGGTTTTTTCTTTTGGTATTTTTCTTTACATGTTTTTGGATATTTTGGTCTGCTATCGAGCCTTTTTGTTTCTGTGAGTGTTTGTTTCACTGCACTACTTTCGATGGCGGCGCCTGATCGAAATGTCCTGTTGAAAGACTGCGTTGACAGAAGTCGCCGAAGTACATTTGTCTCCGTGAATCTGTTTTTGTTATCTCTGGAGAGATGGGAAAGAAGCTCTTGGCTGCAAATTCTACAGACAGGGTGTTTGCTGAGTTCCTTCTACATCGAATGTTCAATTGTAAACAAAGGTCCCGTTGAAATCAGTTGAAAGCAAAACAAGCGAGTCAGTCTAACATCAGCAATGCTTTATTTAGCGAGTGATATCCTTAACGTAAACTTATTTTCTGGCGTATCGCTCTAAAGTAGCGAGAACAATTATTAGCAAACCAATCCTTACCAAAACCTAAAGAAACTGTAACACAGCGATTACAGCGACAAGACTGTGCGCAGTGCTGATTCGACGATTTGCAAACACAACTTCTCGCTTATTCTTTTGAGAACACACACCTAAGCTTCCTATAATAGATTGAGGAATCAAAACATTTCATAGTCGAATCGGGCTTCAGGAAAATCTCACCTGGTGCTTAGACGTTTCGTAATTTTATGACCTTCATTGTGTTCATCAGACTCAACAAAGCATCCATACACATTCACCACCAGTTTAAATTTTGAACTGCTTTCTCCAGTGACATTTAACGAAGTCGGTAATATATATTTCTCCATTTGGAAAAGAATTAAAGTCCTACTGGCCTCTTTGATACTGTCTCTTTAAGCTTCAGTCAAGCGTGAAAAAAGGCTAGCCTTCTTTGAAGTCGTTTTTAGTATCGTCACGCAA